TTCTAAAATTTGGCATGCACATCTATAAATACTATATACTATTTTCACAAGTTTTGTATTACTGAAATCTAGAATAATTGTGTAGGCATGATTATTGTATTTGTTTTCTTCATATTAGTCAAGTGAATAAACTACTACGTTTATCTGTATCTTGTTATTTATTTACGATCATATATATATCATATCATATATTTTACCAAGGTCCGTTTTATTTCCTCAACACTCGTCCTAACTGAAGAAAAGGCACTGCGTGCTACTGATGAGGATCTTGTCATCATCTTGAACATGGCCAGGACAATGCTTCTGTACGACATTTGTCAATGGCTTGTTAACACGTAATCAATGCATGCGTGATTGTGTTCACTAAAGTTATAAAGAAGGGTTTGGAATAACCAAAAATATAATTTAACTGTGTTTTGTAAACAGAGGGTGAGTAATAGTATCTTATGAAATATTGACTTGGTAAATATGTAACTTGGCCAGTGTTAAAAAAAAAAAAATTTCTCTGTATTATTGATGTTGGAAATGTTGGAATATGGCTTCAAATCCCAAAAGAAATGAAGTTTCTCTGAGATAAAGAAACCAAAAGACTCAATAGATAATGTCAATAAAAAAGTGGTCAACTCTTTATCAGTTGGGATTTATCTATTAGTTTTATTATATTCCATTAAGGAATCGAAATTGTACTCTCGTATCAAGTGACAAACATGGAAGCAAGTCTTGATCTGATAAAAACATATTCCATTCATCATGACACAATCTGACCCTTCCACCTCCAATATGTTGGAGTTGGAAAAATGACTGATTTGCGCTTCTAATATGCGTAACCCTTCGAGGCTCATTTTCATAAAGCGATTCGTGTGAATGCACTACAAAATAGAGCCCAATGATCTAACGATCCCATTGTTTGACTACCCAACTCAGATTTGATCGCCTACTAAATCATCTCAACTAAATGATTAACAAATTCGTCCATGCAACTATAGGATCCTAAATGCCCTATTTCTCAAAGTATCAAGATCGATCTTTTAAACAAGATCCCACTATTGGGACCTCAAACAATTTAAGCTAGCAATTAAGGGTACATTACTTGCTCAAGATTTAGTTAATTTTTGGTGTGCATATTAGCGCATCTTGAATTTTTTCCTGGATCCGCCCCAGTTAACTTGTTCATTGATTGAGTAGAATCAAATTTCTTGTAGTCACGATTAAGTCATCTACACGTTCCTTTGAATATGTACCATGCACATCATTGTTCTTATTTTCAAGATCTAGACAAATCTTAATAAAAAAAAGTACAGTTCTATCAAGATAAAGTGTCCAACTTTATCCATCGATTGTGAATAATATGTTTTGATCCCATTACAAACCGTCTAACTCTACTCGACCTATAAAGTACACAATTTGTAACATTTCTTATGACGATGGAGACTTCAATTAATAATTCAAATTAAATTACAGATAAACGATAAATATACGAATTACTCGTCCTTCAGTTGCTTTTACAGTAGTTTTACTTGTTTCTTTACTTCTCATATGATGCAGGCTACTTGCAGCAGTATTAATTGCTCCAGTTATCAATTACTGGTGGTCTAGTTTTCCTGCAAACTTATTTAAAGAAGCATACAATCAACAGCACTGGATGACTCATGGACACTTCGAGTGGCACGCTAAACGTCATGGCTCATCGACTGGTGGAACACTCCGAAGTGGTTTCCTTCATCTAGCGTCATGGCCCGAAAACCTACCCTTTTGGCCCCCGGATTCTAAAATTCTTCCGAGGATGGCAGACAGAATTGACAACAATGATACTGATATTTCTAACTTGTATCCCCGGCTATACGTGCATTCTAAAATACAGGTCATCACTAAACATTTTAGCGAAATTTCTTGTTGGTCACTAAGAAACCTTTTTTGTTCTAATTTGTTCGCTCACCATTACACATTTCTCATGGTTAGAACGGATTACTACATTATATACCAAAACACATGCTTCAAACTGCATCAACTAAATCTTGCTTTTGTGTAGGAATACGCAACTCAGCAAGGAGGAATTCAAGTCCCCATATCATGACCTGATCGTCGGGTTTGGGCATTGGGAATTCGATCCTATGGATCTCAAGAACCCATTTCCCAATAGAGAAGGTTCTGTTCATCTGTGGCATGGCGTTTGAGGATAGGTTCTTGCCCATTCAACTGCAACGCTATATTGCTGTGAAGCTTCCTTG